GATTTACTGAGAACTGCTGGCTTTTCTGCATTTTAATAACAACCTCATCGTCCCCATCTGCCAGGATTGAGGGCTGCTGCTAGACCTCGAACACTGCCTTGTATTCACTCAGTTCCTGCCAGACACTTTTTCTCCTCCCGATGCCCTCCGTGTCTTGCATCTCCTACGCTCTGAAATTCCCAGTCTTGATGCCTGGGTGCCACGGCTGTCTTCTCCTCAGGGAGGAAGCTCCCTTGGTGACCGGTTGGACCTGGGGGACCTCGCTGGGTTTTTTGGGCAGGAGCGTGCAGTGTGCACGGGCTCAATAAATCAGCAAATCTGTGACTCAGTGGGCATGTGTATGCTGTGCCACACTAGCACGGGAGGCTCAGCTCCTCGGCAACCCCATCCCAGCTCCCCTCCTGTGCTGGAAGGAAGTGGGGGTCACCATGAGAACTTCTCCAGGTGTCCTTGCCTCCCTGCAGCAGGCACCCCAACAACCACAGCCCATCAGGAGCCCAGCTCACGGTGTGCGGATGGGCAGGACCACGCCGTGGCATCTCTCCTCCTCACTGCATGCCACTGCATGGCTCCACCTCTGCCATGGTCCCGCTTTCAGAGCATCCCGCTTCTGGCTCCCTTCCCTTTCAGGCACGGTTGGCCACGGCCTATCCGGGGATTCAGCCTGTGAGCAGGGCTGGGAATGGGTTTTGGGTGAACGGTGATGTGTGCTTTGGCAGGGGCATGGAGGATTCAGGGCCGTAGGTCTGGAGACAGGGCTGTGCAGCGTGGCTATTGGGCACAGTGAAACAGTCGGTTCTGGGTGGTGAGTGAGCAAAGGGCAGCGGTGGCTGGTGATGGGTGCGTCTGTAGGGGTAACAGTCAGAACACGTGTAAGCACACTGTTCTCTGCTGCAACAGTCTTGGTCTCCAACACACCGTTCCCAACACCGCTGCCCTGCTCTGCACGCTTGTCACCGCAAATCCAGCCCCGCCCCAGCTGTACCCAAGGGCCCATGTCCTGGCCCCATGTGCCTGGGGCTCCGCACGCTCGCCCCACATCCCCACACACCTAGCCATGGCTCAGCCTTCTTCCCAAGCGCTTTCTCTTGGCTTGCCCCTGCTTGCTCCGATCCCATGCTGTTTCTTGGAGGGGTCCGTGATGCCGGCCTGGTGTTTCAGTGACTCCCTGTGGCGATCTGCTCGGCGGGTCCTGCGCGGGCCCGGTCCCACGAACGCCCCCCAGGCTGTGGAATTGCCACGGACGGACCCTCTCTTGCTCCTATCGTCGCGGCCCTT